AGCCTCTTAGCTTTCTGTCTTTTGGTCTCCCAAGCAGTAGTGACCTGTAGGGACTGCTCAAGACTCACTAGCCATCATTGTTATTAAACATCCTTGAAGGATATTTCATGCTGGTGTGGCATAGGCTGAGGAACCATCACTGCTCCTGCTCAAAGCCTTTGCTAAGGCCATGATGTTGATATCATCAGCCCCACCAAGGATTGCATAAATTGGACTGTCTTTCTGGAGACTTGCACCCTGCACACTCTGCCTTCTGCTGGTCATGTGTGGGCCCCATGCGGCTTGAATTTGCTCTGTCTGTCTCTTCCTTTCTCAACGGACTTGTTACTGGGTGGGATGGTCTCTGCTCCAGCTTCCCATTTTGGCCCTTGCCATGGCTCAGGAGTACCCTATTCTACACTACTGCTCCTTTATAAATATCTCTGCCCCAGGGACATTCTGCGAGCCTCTGTGCTGACTGACACTGATTTGCCTCTCATGGGGGGAAGGTCCTGTTTGAAACAGAACTATGAAAGTTGCCTTGGCACAGAATGGTAAACCTGCACCCAGAAACAGGAGCAATCCTACCTCAAAGACCAAGGCCAAATCCCGTGGACCACTCCTGTCCTCAGGCCTGGGATGACCTGGCTCCCTCTGACCCCCTCCACCCTCAGGCAGGGTGCTGGATAGGCAGACCTCAGCCTCAGGGCTCCAGCTTTGAGGAGGGTTATATTCCAGACATGGAGGCCTGCTTTTCTTCACAAATCAGGAGATGTGTGCTTTGTATTTTAGGGCAGAAGTAAGGTGGTCAAAGTCCATGTGAACAACTGTAATCTTTATTCTCCTGCTGGCTTCTGTGTCAGCGTCCCTGACACACCCATCATCCCCAGCACTTACTAAAAACAGCTCACAGCAGCAAATCCCTCCTCTGTTTCCAAGATGTCCATGTGTGCTTCTCCAGCAACCCAGAAGTATCCCTTACAAGGACCTGAATACCCTTCATCTGAAATGCCCTCATCAGGGAGGACATGACCTCTCTCAACCTCTGGGAGAGCGAAGACCTAACTCTCATCATGGACCACCAACAGCACAGTCAGCCTCATTTCATCCACACTGACCATTTGTGTGTGTGGTGCTGGGCATAAAACCCAGGCTTGTGCACATTTGGCAAACACTCAGCCACTGAAGGCATCCCCAGGCCCTGTTTTGTGAGACAGGGTCTCAGTGTGTAGTCCAGGCTGGCCGTGCAGTCTCTATCCTCTGACTCTGTCTCCTGAGTGCTGGGATTATAGGCATGTACCACCACATCTGGCTTAACCAACTCTATCTTACAGTCCTGAACTTCCCTTTCCCTAATTTAACTTGAGCCCCTGATCATACCCCTCTTGACTCCCTTATTCTCTCTCTCTCTCTCTCTCTCTCTCTCTCTCTCTCTCTCTCTCTCTCTCTCTCTCTCTCTCTCTGACACACACACACACACACACACACACACACACACACACACACACACACAAATGTTCTTTCCCCACTGCAAGATCTGATTGGAGTTCAGAGCCTTCTCTAGAGAAGCTGTTAAGTGAAACACATTTTGTAGCTTTAATGCCGAGTTTTGTATACCTTTTTTAATTGTGTGTGTATGTGTGCGCGCACGTGCACACACGCATGCCATAGTGAACATGTGAGGATCAGAGGACAACTTGCAGGACTTGGTTCTCCTTCCATTGTGTAGTTCTGGGGATCAAATTCCGGTCGTCAGACTTGTCATCTCACAGGCCAAGTTGTCTGTGGTTTTGATGAAGCCCCACTGTCCCTGCATAGTCCCACCTTGAGCATGGAGGGAAAGCCCCTTGATAGCACGTAATTCTTGGCAAAGGGGTGGGAGGCCTAATCTTACCAGAGGGTGAGGAGTCAAGTACTCTCAGCCCTCCCCTCTCCTTGCCCTACTGTGTTAGAGTCTCTGGCTAATATGGGGCCTGGATTCCCTTTAGCGTGTGGCTATCTAGCTTCGATGAATTCTCTGCGTGAAGCCTCGTGGCTCTCTCTAAGCTCACACACAGCTAGAGGCCAGAGGGATCCCATGATCACCCATGCTCTGGGGAGATGGCTTTGAGAAGGTCTTTCCATAACTACTTATTTTAAACAGGTTGTCCTGTGCCTGCCACTTATGTTCTTCATCCTGGACCCTGTAAAAGCAAGCGTCTGGGTCCAGACCTCCATCTCCACAGCCCACTGACCTCTGTGCGCATGGTTTGGGTGTGTTGTACACCGTGGGGACCCACAGTAGTGATATCCTTTTTTCCATGGCTGTCCTCTAACCACAGCAGGGCATTCTCCGTCTCCACAGTTCTGAATGAAGCCAATGGTTGCACAGAAAAAGGAAACTAGACAGGATAAAGTCACAGGCTCGAGGAGCTGCCAGGCCCAGGCAGGCCAAAGGATGCCTAGGGAGCATCTCTCCATGTCTCCAGCCTCCAGGAACAGAAAGGTTGCAGCCAGGGAGCTCAGTGACTTCCAGTCACAGATTCACACATCTGGCAGCATCCAAAGGAATGCCATTAAACCAGCACCAAGAAGCCCAGAGTCCAGACAACAGCTTGGAGAAGGGAGCGGCTATTTGCAGAGAAGCCCTCCCTTTCTCTCACCCCAGGCCAAAGAGGATCCCAGGTACCCCAGACCTGAAGCCCTGACAGTGGAATGTAGCAGGCTGGGCCTGGTGGGATCCAGTAGGAGGAGGTGAAGGAATGGTCCCCTACACCCAGGGCTCACACTCAAGGGCCTGGCATGTTACCCAGAGGTGCCTTCCATCTGTAGCTCCCTTTTATCACTCTACTCACAGCTCCAGAAGGCCCACAGGCCCTTCCCTGCCAGCTGTCTGGAGTTTCTCACCTACCCACCCACTCTCAGCCCCCAGCAGCCTGATGCTGCCTGCCAGCAAAGCTCCCAGCTGGCTTTGATTTCTTAGGGTGGAGGGCACTGGGGGCATGTGATGCCCTGGGCCATTCCTGCCCCTTTAGCCCTCTTCCTCTGGATTATTTGGTTCCCCTCTTGCCTCTGGACCCTCCAAGCACTCACCCACCCATCCGGCTTTGTGGATTGAGCAGCTATGGCCTCTCTGTCACTCCAACATGTAGACAGCTGTTGTGACTACCCAGCCCACTGTGCAAGGCAGTCTAATAAACCACCTTAATAAACCACCTTCACACACACACACACACACACACACACACACACACACACACACACACACACACACACACACTTCTGTTGGTTCTATACCTCCAGAAAACCCTGCCAAGCTCACTCCTCATTGCCCCGAGGATCAATTCAAACCCCTCCACTGGCTCCAGGATCCCAAAGGTGAGTCCACCTTACTACGACCCAGTTCTTTGCCTCCCCCAACCCCCCACAGAATTGAGATTTTAGCCTTCCCTAAGCTATAGGCCCTGGAATACCTGATTCCCTCTGCTTCCCTCCTCAACCCAACAAACAGACCCCAAGCTCAGACATCCAGCAACAGGGAAGGTCATGCTCAGAAATGGAGCCCACTTTATACACAGGCACTGTATCCTCTGTCTCCAGGGGGTAAAAGCCAGAGGCTGAGGTGCCGCTCGAATGGGCCTTGGTCTCTCTCCTGCTGGGCAGGTACTGGGCCAAGTGTAGGGCAGTCAGTAGAACCAGCCTCTCCTCCAGATCTCAAAACCGTGGGAGGGTCTCCTGCATCCAAGTCCCAGAAGTACAGTCCCTCTTCCTGTCCCCAGAGCCACCAGTAAACAAACAGAAGACATCTGAGTAGAGGGGACAGAGAGAGACAAACAGAAGACATGTGGCAGCTGGCAAACCGAGCAGAGGCCAGGCTCTGGCTCCTAAGCCACAACCTTGCATCACCATTATTTATTAGACAGGAATCAGCTTTTCAACACAAGTCATGCTCAGCACGCCCCACCCCACAGGACGGCTTCAGGGGTTAGGGTAGGAAGGGAGAGGTTGCCCATGGAGGCCCCCATCCAAGCTCTGAGCAACCAGCAGGCCCAGGGCCCAGCAATCTGAGCTACAGTATATTCCACCGCCACGCCCAAAATGACCCTGGAAAGGGGAGGAAGACCAAATAAACGTCAATAAATAATCAAGGCCGGTTTATCTCCCCGGGAACTCAGCCACTGGCTGGGAACCAGCGGTTGTGCAGGGCTCTATCCTAGCTAGCTCTGGCAACCCAGACAAGAGTGTGAAGTCCATACTCACCCTCTCAGAGGGGTGAGGGCATGGGCTGGAGGGGTCCCCTAGGCTGACCCCCTGTGGTCTGCATTCTCTGTCTTCCATTGTGCCTGGCACTGAGTCACATGAGCTTGAGGACAGAGGGTCTCAGAGGCCAGGGAGGCATAGTGCCTGGAGGACCTCATAATCATTACCTTTGTCTGTCCCCAGCCCCAGATCTCTTCAGTGCGGTTGGGGCCAGCTGTGGGATCCATCCCACCACAACCCAATGAAGAGTGTAGCCTCCTGGCAGGAATGGCTGCACCCCAACGAACAGGTTCTGGGGAGTGAGTGAGCTTATCTACAGAGGGAGAGCAAAGTGACTAGAACATTCCAGAGACACACTGCCTTCCTCCCGTGCTGAGTGACTTCACTGCTACAGAAGACTAAACATGAAAGCTTCTCTCTTGACCCAAAGCACAGTGCTGTGTGTGTGTGTGTGTGTGTGTGTGTGTGTGTGTGTGTGTGTGTGTGTTTGGTGTGACTGTTTCTTTAGGACATCAACATCTCCAGTGTTGTCACATCTACAAGTGTTTGAAACTTAAAGAATAAGCCACACCAAGCTGGAAAAGGCCTGTGACCCTGACCCAATATTTCACAAGGTGGAGGCAGAGTTGAAAAGCTTGGCCTGGGCCATATGTCCCTTCTCCACAAAGACCCATGTCCTTTCTGGGACTGGGTTGAGTACTGGCATCTGCTCTCAGGATGAAAACAGACCCCCCCCAGCAAGTTCAGACCCTTACCCAGGATCTACTTGAGAGAGAGAAAACTGCCTTAAAGGGGATTTAAGCACAAGTTGGCTCCTGCTGTGGCCAGACTGAGCACAGGGCTTTCCCAAATGAGTCCCCCTAATGGCTGGGAAACTGAAACCAGGATGGCTCTGAGGGTGTGGATCCCACAGCGCTGGCATGGAGAACACAGGAGGGTTGACTGATGGGTGGGGCCAGTGGGAATGCAGGGTCTCCAGGGACATCAAGGCTGGGCCATCCACAGCAGGGTACCTGAAAAGCACATCACATTAAGGGTCACCAACTAGATATCCCTTCACCTTCCCTCTGCTTGGAAAGCTCCCTCAGCCAACTCCTTTCCCTGCCTAGACCAGTTGACCCTCACCCGCCTCTGTCCAAGCTGGTCTCTTACTACCCATGGCCAGCCTCACCTTACCATGACCAGCTGACAGATGGGTGTCACACCCTGTCCCCACCTGTGGTCTGGCAGGCTACAGCTGAGGCTGTGTTTGAGCCTCAGGAAGAAGCTTACTGAAGACAGGAACTCAGGACCCCAGTCTCCATCTTAGCAGCTAGCATGGCCTTTATTTCCCTTGCTAAACAAACTAATTCCTGAGTCCAGAGGAAGCCCCTGTGATGGTCCTGATCCCCTCCCTCCCCACCACAGGCCCCTCAGTTCATCCTCAAGTGAGTCTCCCCTCAGTACCTGGGGCCAGAAGCCAGCTGATCACTCTCAGTGGTCACTCCCACAGGAAGCGCACATACCAGATGGTCTCATTCTTCAGTTGTGGACCAAACAGGGGGTTCAGCTGAGCCAAGATGGCGATGAGCCAGCTGTGAAGGACAGCAGAGTGAGGGGACTGGGCACAGAGGGGGCCCATCCCACACACCAAGGGAGAACTCGGCTACTCTCTCTTCCAAAGAGCATGCAGCTAATCTAGACTCTCTGTCCTGGCTGGCACAGGGATTGAGCTTAGGATCTGTGGGTTTTGATGTGAGTTGATTTGATTTTCTGTAAGTATGTAAGGTCCCTGAGCTCAGGCTGGACCCAGGGTGAGGGTTCCTTAGGGGCCTTAGGGAGCCACCCTGCATTGCCACACACACCTCTGCTGCCCCCTAGTGGTTCTACACTGGCTTTAGTCCAATCACCCAGGCGTTCCTTAGCAATATGATGATGCCCTGATTTCTATGTGACTTGCTGAGTCTAGAGTGGAGCAAGAAAGTTGTGTTTAAACAACCAATCCAATCTGGAGGATTCTGATGCCCAGATAGGAGCGGACACTACTGAGCTGGTCCAACTCATGTATCTCACAGCTCAGCTGGGGGCAACACAAAGCTCATGCAACCGTCACCTGGGAGGCAGAACCAGACCCAGCACTGGTGACAGCCACAGCCCCAGCTCCGGGGGAAGGCGGTACTCACAAGAGGTAACAGCAGACAGCAGTGGCCACCAGCATGGTGATGATCACCCTGCAACAGCAGAAAGGGAAAGGCAGCTTTGGCACACAGGGCCAGAGAAAGAGCTCCCCATGTCCGCCGGTGCCACCTGGACAGGAGGCTGAGGTCCCTTCCGAGTAAGAATTCCAAGACAAAGCACAAGAACATCAAAGGGCATCAAAGGGCATCCACATCCAAGGTATGTCGTAAATCTCTCCCTTTCTCTTCTCCATCAGCAAACACTTCTCCATCTTCACGCTCAAAATTCATCATCATCATCACACACACACACACACACACACACACACACACACACACACACACACACACACACGATGGGGTAGGAAGCAAGGAGGCAGAGCCAATGTTAACAGGGGCCGGACTATTGTAAAGAAAACAGGGGCTTTGTGCCCACTCAGAGAGGACCAAACACAGAGGCTCCAACACAGCTGGAGATGTGTTAGATGAGAAGGAGCTCACCAAGACGTTCAGGAGAGACGACCCTGGAGTGGCTACAGAGGAAAGAGCCCAGTTAAAATCTTTTTTAAAAGACATTTTTATTCTTACGTGTGTGTGTGTGTGTGTGTGTGTGTGTGTGAACTTGTGTGCCCAAAGGCCAGAGAGGACCTCAGATCTCCTGGAACTGTAGGTAAGACAGTTGTGAGTCACCCAATTGGAGCGCCAAACTTTGGTCCTCTGGAAGAGGAGGGTCTCTCCAGCTGCCTTCAGATGTGCAGGAATAAAGGCAACGCCTATCTACGTCTCCAGCTAAACCTTAGGCTAAACCTAATCCAAGGCAGAGAGCCCAAGCACTTCAGGGTGGTGCTGAAGAGATTAGTACTCCATCTTCCCTTAACAATAGTGACCACTCGTGGCTGTGCACGGGACAGTCAGTGCTGAGACAGTGCACAGGCGGCAAAGTGTGAGGGCTTCATGACTGAGAGGCCAACAGGAGGAGGGACTGGTAAACGGTGTAGAAATCTGCTAGGAACCTTCCAAAAATGAAGGGAGCTGAAATCATCCTGTACACACAACGTGCCCAGGACGTTGCTTAGGACAACCCTCACAACAGCCTTACAAAGCAGGTATTGCCATCGTCCTTCTTTTGCTAGGTGAGGAAACTGAGGCCTGGCACTTGCCCAAAGTCACACAGCTGGCAACAACGGCGCATCAGTGCCCATAGGTGGCCTTTACCGACTGCAGGGTGTGTGTATGGGGTGGTGGTGGTGTTGCCTTTAACCACATTCAAACGTCCCTGACTTCTGAATCTACCCTTTCACCAGGCCCTCCTGCCTGTTTGCTGGCGGCTGCGGCCCAGGTGCAGATCTGAAAGAAGTCACGGAGAGGCGTTCCGGTGTGGTCATGAGCTGAAGGGTAGCAAGCGGGAGCCCCAAGGTGAAGAGGCAAGCCTAGCCAGGGGACGGGGGAGGGTCCGCAGGGAATCGAGGCCTGCTTGGCTTTCTTACCCGCGATTGGGTCCTTTGGGCACGAACCAGGGCCCAGCGATGCCGATGAGGCCCCAGAACGTGGTGAAGATGATGACAGGGAGGGCAAAGGAGTGTGCTGTCATGGCTGGGTGCGCGATGCTCAGGTAGGATGCTAGGTCGAACGGCGGACTCTCCAAGCAGGTGCACGTCCTGGAAGAGGGCGGTGAGCATGCGCAACGGGATCCAAGTGGCTCAGGCCCTGGACCAAGTGATTCTGCGCTCGCGCGTCTCTGAACCCCGCCCGCTGGGAACGCAGCCTGAACACCAGCTGTCACTCAGGGCCAAGGGCGGGGCTTCTTAGGAGTCCTTTTCTTGATTGGCTGAGTAGGGTTTGCTCCGTCGCAGGTGATTCCAGGCTCGGGTTTGCACTTTCCTTTCTTATTCCCACCAGGACATGGTGGGTCACAAGTTGTGCTCTGGCTGCCCAGGTGTCTGGGCTGCCCAGGACAGGGGGACAGGGTAGGAGAAGACCCGAGCCGGAGCGGGGGACTGCGCGGGGACCACAGGGACTTCGATTATGGGAGTTCATGTAGCTGGGAGTCCACAGACTTGGCCTCCCATCTTTCACCCACTACCACAACCACGTTGCCCTCGGTGACAAGCTCTCGGGAAGCATCTAGCAGCTTAAAACTCAACAGTTTCTCCCGCAGGACAGGAAGGGTCTTCCTTGGACTTTTTGGTCCCGTATCTCCCTCTTTTGTGGAGAGCCATGGGATCTGTTGATCTCCACCCTCTGTAGAGATCCTTTCTATAGAGAACAGGGGCTCCAGGAGACAGCCTGGGCAGCAGATCCTGCCCCTTGCAGCTGACCAGGGCTGCATACATCCTCGGAAGCTAGTGGTTGCACAGCATGGGAAATGGGGCACCCACCCACGCACACGCACACCCACACGCACACACATTGGATGCAGACGGGAAGTGCCTGTCCTCGTACTTGCCTCTGCCAGTGATGTGCTCCTGGCTATCCAGAGCAGGGACAGGTCACATCCACTTTCCCCTAATTAAGACTGTTTTATTCATCTTGTCAAACTTCATGCAAGTTGGAGGTGAAGAGAGGGTGGTATTCAAAGATCTCAGGCGCAAATAAGCTAGTCGAGGTGTCACGTGATAAAATACTACAGCTCAGACTTGTTTAAAAGCCTTCCTGCCCAGGGTGATGGCACATGCCTGTAGCCGCAGGAAAGTGAGGGTTTTGGTTGACACTGGCTGTACTGGGTACCTTGCTGTGATTCCCGTCGAGTTGTCCTCTGACCTCCCCACATGCACCATGGAATGTGTGCCTCATACAAACACAGACATCATGCACACAAAAATAACGATTTGTTTAATGTTTCCAAATCCTCCCTGGGAAGCGACAGGAAACCAAGCCTCAGTGCCATAGACTTGTCACAACACCTCTTTATACAGGTGGTGGGAGTGGGGGTGGGCAACAATTTGGGGTGTCTGTCTTTTTAGCAAGGCCTTGTGATACTCAAACATATGGCCATGTGCTCCTCAGCCAAGGCTTAGGAGCTGGGAAACATAGTGAGTGGGAGGAAGAGGGTGAGGGCAGTGGTCTGCTGCTTTCTTCTTCTCTTTCTTGCTCCCCAGCAGGGATATGAAAGCCTGGACCAGAGCAAGTGTCTTTTTCACTAACTGAACCTACCTCCCCACACCCCCCACCCCGCCCACCTACCAAACCCCGAATGCGCAGAAGTCTCTGGAAATGGAGAAGTGTGACACTGTTTTATTCAGCTTCTGGCATGCCTGATGTTGCCTTACAATAAACTCCATCCCTTGTTGCAAAGGCCTTGGGCATCCCTGGAGCCCTCTTAACTTTCCCTACTGATTGATGTCAGCCCCGTACCTTTCAATTGGGGCCATGAGTCAGGCTTCAGGATTGATGCAGATCGTGTGCACACGCGAGTTTAAGTCACGCTTGGCTATTTCCTCAGCAGTGCATGCTACTGCAAAGCAGGGGTGCTCTACAGATTTGATAGAGAAGATAAGCTCTGAGTGAAGGACTCAGACTGAGCTGGAGCCCACCCTCAGTGACGTGAACCTTGCACCCCCAGAATTCCTGTGCAGAGCTCCCTGCTCCACTGAAGCCTGTGGATGCCCAGCCTCTGATCAGGCCACTGACAGACTATTCTCCCTCTATGTGGGAGGTCAGGGGATCTGTGGGACACAGCAAGACTCCGGACTCTCAAGGCCGCCACTCCTGAAGGGCCACCGTCCAGGTGGGAGCTGGAGGGGGAGTCAAGTCATCACAGCAAGCATTCCATGGAGCAGGTGTGCAGCAGCTGGGGACAGAGCTCCCATTTCAGTGGGAGCCATCGCCAAGCCCTGAACACGTAGCCTGTCTTCTGCAAAGCTCACTGCTGCCTTTCTGGTTATCTATGTGAAGAAGGAAGAGGAAGGCTTATCTTACTGTAAGTTCAGACAGGAAATATATTGTGGAAGGCCTTTCAGGAATATTCCAGGACAGGGCGGCCCAGGCAGGTGTTTAGTCTTGCTCACAGAACTAGACAGTCAAGAACCAACACTCTGGTGCTACTCTGTCCATCCATCTTCACAAGGGTCTCTGTGACACTTTTTCACAGATATGCCTCCTGAACTTTCTGCAGCAAGTCCCCAAGCTGTGGTCTAGTCGTTGTTGCTACAGGGAGAGATTAAAGTGGCGGCAGGAACACAGACTTCCTGAGCAAGATCACCTCCTACAGAGCAGTTAATTTTCTCATCACTGTGACAAAATAAACTTAAGGAAGGAAGGGTTCATTTTGGCTCACATCTCACCATGGTGGGGAAGACAGCGGCAGGAGCATGGGCAGCTGGTCACTGCATCCACTGGCAGCTGGTCACTGCATCCACTGGCAGCTGGTCACTGCATCCACTGGCAGCTGGTCACTGCATCCACAGGCAGCTGGTCACTGCATCCACAGGCAGCTGGTCACTGCATCCACAGGCAGCTGGTCACTGCATCCACAGGCAGCTGGTCACTGCATCCACAGGCAGCTGGTCACTGCATCCACAGGCAGCTGGTCACTGTATCCATAGGCAGCTGGTCACTGCATCCATAGGCAGCTGGTCACTGCATCCACAGGCAGCTGGTCACTGCGTCCACAGGCAGCTGGTCACTGCGTCCACAGGCAGCTGGTCACTGCATCCATAGGCAGCTGGTCACTGCATCCATAGGCAGGAAGCAGAGAGATGAACGCTGGTGCTCAGCTTGCTTTTTCTTTAATTCAGTTTGGGATCCCAGTCCACAGAATGGTGCTACCCATATTAAAGCTGGGTCTTCCACCTCAATTAACCCAATATAGACATGCCCACATATAGAGCCTTGTTTCCTAGGTGACTGTAGACCAAGTGGACAGAGTTATGTACCACACTCTGCAATATGGTGCAATGACAGCAGGAAGCATCAGTCCACTGCCCCCAGGACTTCGGTGGTTTGTTTTGTTTTTTCCATTTTAATTTTTATTTTATTTTATTATTTTTTTTTGTTTTTCGAGACAGGGTTTCTCTGTGTAGCTTTGCGCCTTTCCTGGAACTCACTTGGTAGCCCAGGCTGGCCTCGAACTCACAGAGATCCGCCTGGCTCTGCCTCCCGAGTGCTGGGATTAAAGGCGTGCGCCACCACCGCCCGGCTCCATTTTAATTTTTAAAAACTTGTATTAATCACACATACAGTAGTCTGCCTGCACGCCAGAAGAGGGCACCAGATCTCATTATAGATGGTTGTGAGCCACCAGGTGGTTGCTGGGAATTGAACTCAGGACCTCGGAGAACAGCCAATGCTTTTCATCTCTAGGCCATCTATCTCTCCAGCCCTAACTTTGGTGTTCTTAGCCCCACGGGTCTGTTAGTCAGGATGCTGAGTCACACTTAGCCCCAGCTGTGTGCCATCTTCAGGATGCCACCGCTGCCCAGAGGTCTTGCTGTGACTATAGGATGAAGAAGATGCTGAGAGAAAGTTTCTGTTTTGCCACGGTTATTAGATTACAGCTGCATGTCCTCTCACGGAGCTTGATAGCCATACCAGAGAAGAGTCTAGATAATCAGAGAGCCAACTGATATCCCTAATGATTCTGTGGGTTGAAAAATCCCAAGGCCAAACTTGACCCTGGGTTCTTTAGGTCATGAGAAAAGCTGGCCAGCTTGAGCCACTGCGATAAGAACTTCAAGAGCTACACAGCCATGGCCACCATGACACATCCCGGGAGAGAGGATCTTATGTGTTCCTTCTGTGTGGCAGAGGCCTCCAGCACCGCTGTGGGCTACCTCTCCTAACTTGCAGCTGCAGAGCTCTAGACCAGAAACAGCCACCCAGCCTGTGGCTTCCCGTGGCTCTCTAGTACCACTGAAAACCACACACATGCAGACACGGTATGACTGAATCTCCTGGCCAGAGATTCGCTAGTATCCAGCCTCTGTGCCACTTTGCTCCATCCTGCCAGGAGGGCTAGTGGAGGACCCCTGACCACCGGCAGAGCTGCAGAGGGCATCCTGAAACGGTTCTTTGGGAACTCTGTTGGGTGGTGTCAGGGCTTTGGCACTGCTGTGAAATGGTGCTTTTCCCGTGAAAGCCAGGCTTTTGGATGAAAGCCCCGACAGCTCTGATGTGCTGAGCAACAGTGAGCATGGAACACTTGATTCTAACCCAGGGTGCGCTGCCCTCTCAGCCCCGTCTTCTCATACCCACGGGTAGAACCTCTCAGCTCACTCAGGATTCAGAGGAAGGAAATACAAAGACAGCAAACAAGTCCAAGTCTGCTTTATTCAAATAACAAAAGCTAAGACTTGAACACGGTTTTTTAACCTAATATGCACATCCTTGAAAGCAGGAGCCCAGAGCATCCCAGACCGGTCATCCTTGTTCCTGGCTACACAGATGCCAGCCTGAGGGAACCTGTGACCGCCACAGTCCTGACCACACTTAGCACTCTAGGGACTTGCCCTTTGTGGTCCAAGGTCTGGAGGTGGCTGCACTCTACTGTGTTCAGCCGGCCAGGGGCTGAGCGTCCTTACTCCCCGAGTCTCTGTGGCTACTGACATCAAAGTGCTGAGTACAATGCTGGCTATTTGGAATAGCAGACCCAGTAGGCACCAGCTATCAGGGGACGGCGGGTGAGTGCCAGGAAACACAGGAGATGCTGTCCAGAGAACAGGCAGGAGCCAGAGGCACAGATCTCTATGAGTTCAAGGCCAGCCTCATCGACATAGAGACAGACAGACAGCTAGCGTGGGCTGGGGTGCCAAGCATGTGAAAAGGCAAGAGAGGAGGGGGAGGCCAGGGCTCAGGTCGAAGGGGCAGTGCCTCCTCTTCCTCACCATGCCCTTTGACTTGTTTTCCCCTGAGGCAAAACCAGGATGCTCCCAGGGAAATGCAGCCACCCCTAAGAGCAACGCAGGACCAGCCTGAGCACAAAGGCTGCAAGGTGAGCACGTCCACCTTGAGGACTACACAAGGATATTGCTTCTTGTCTTGAGCCGGCAAAGCGGCACTGGGGTTACCTTCTCTGGTCAAGACCTTGAGTAAGCAAACACCCATCAGCCTGCTCTCTGCGTGACGGCCACCCAGTGCTGCTGGGGAGACTTAGCCTAGAACACCCTGCTCCAAGGAGCCCCCTTTTCTATCTGAAGAAAACACCAGGAGGTGACCTCAGGGTACTGGTGTGAAGAGGACAGGGTGCTTCTCCACCTGGTAGCCACCTCAGCTCCCCAAACCTCATCCAGAAACCATGCCTACATTACTCGCAGGACGGCTGTCTTGCTGAGGGGATTTTTGGTTTGTTTGTTTGTTTGAGATAGGGTTTCTCGGTGTAACAGTTCTGGATGTTCCTGGAACTTGCTTTGTAGACCAGGCTGGCCTCGAAACCACTGAGATCCGCCTACCTCCGCCTCCCGAGTGCTGGGATTAAAGGTGTGCGCCACCACCGCCGTGTGCTGAGGGGATTTTTAAAGGAAAGATGCTACGGAAAAGGTGAGCCGTGTGGATGGAGACCTATGCCTCAATCCTGACCTGGTAAACCCCTGGACCCGGAAAAGACTTGGCCTGCCCATCTCCTGGACCTGGAGCCAAAGGCCTGCCTGCCCCCTGCCCCCAAGCCCCCAGGCTGGATGGATGGGAGATTTTCTTGAGTGGAAAACCGTACACCGCACACCCAGGCTAAGTGCTGAGGCTGAGAGCCATGGGGTCTGCACAGTGCCGAGGCACCTGGGTGCAGCATTGCTGGGGTGTTCGGCTCCTGCTGGAAGGAGTGGGCGGTGGCATGGTCAGAGGCTCTGTGCTCATGACACAGGGCAGGGAGCAGACAGGCAGCAAGCAAGGTTCCTGCCCACTTCAAAGGAGCAGGTGCTCTTCCATTAGGCAATTCTCCAACCTGGAGCTAAAGGCAGAACCTAGACAGATCATGCTAACCAAACAGACAACCACTGAGCCTGCAAAGCCAGTCTGCCCTGGGATTCACAGTAGAAGGGAAATGTGAGAGGGCCCAAAGGCAGTTTTACTGGCGGCCCTTCTATGAGAGGGGAAGTGGCTTTTAATCCAGAGAACACCCATGAAGGTCCTGGGGAAGCTTGTGAGAAACTACAGCGGCTGAGCTGGGTTGGGGAGCAAGGTTCTACTCGTCCAGGATGGGGCACGTTTGACAAGCCCTGGTGCATTCTGCAGAAGGACGGGTGCACCTGTCCTGTGGACAGCATGTGTGGACAGCACTTCCGCCTTCACACAGGACTCTAGTGGCAAAGCTGATGCCTTTACTGCTAAGGACACGGCAGGGTAGGAGCAGCTAAGTGCTCTAGACAGGCCCCTCTTGCCAGGATTTGAGGCTCCCATTACTGCCATAGCTACAGGGAGCCAACAGGCACTTGGGTTCTCTGTGGCAAACACCACATGAGGAGTGAAACTGAGGCACAGAAGAGGAAGCGACTGATCATAGGCACATTGTCTGTAGAAGAGCTGGCCGGGATTCCACACCTCCCAACTCCCACGTCTCCTGCACTCCTCAGGAAACTGCCTGGTACCACAGCAGCCAAGCCCAGGGTTCAGGGGTGGGGAGGGAACACCAGGCTCCCTTCAGAGGAAGCATGTCTCACTGTGTAGGAGCTGTGATGACAGCACCCTCCTCAGGTGCGCTGTGCAAAGGATGCTGGTCTGTTTGTGTTAAAGGCGGGCCTTGAGGGGAAGCTTCTCCTTGATTCTACCGCATGAGCTTCTGCAGTGGTCCAGAGCGGCCAATCCTGGGGGCTTCTGCAGCAGGCCAAGGTCTCTGGACCATGGTCACTTCTACCACCAAAGTGGCCTTCCTCAGAGGCCACCTCCTATTTGTGCCAGGGATGTAGAGAGCTGGGGTATTCACCTGCTACCCCACTCTCCTACTTCAGGAAAGTCCTTTGCCACCATAATGTGTGGGATGAACTCTCTCATGGCAGGATTCTTTCTTTGGGAAAAACAGACCTGAGGTAAGTGCCTCTCTGGTATGCTTTGGCACTGGGAGGCACTGCTGTGCCTTGAGGACCCTGTCCCTTGGGGATGTGTGCTTCAACCCTTTGTCACTGCCCACATCCTGGGCCCATGAGCCATCCTACCAGGACAGCCTAGAATCTTCAAAGAGCCTCTCTCCATGATCAAGGGTGCCCCAGAGCCCGGTCTAGGCCACTCTTCAGAACCACAGGGCCTTTGAGAAGGTATAGAGCCCAGGAACCTTCACCATGTGATCCTTCTGAACCTCATGGCTCCCCAGATGATGTGATGGATGTCTTCTGGACCATGGGTTCCTCCTTACAGAGAGCTTCCATCCCCTCCTTCCTGAGTCCTGTATCTGTGGAGGAGACAATGATAGGTATACTGAACAGCAGATGGGTGCCTTCCCTACCCTATGTCTAAGTGTGGTAAAGGCGACATCCAGTACAGACCGGACAGGCCAGCACTGCATCCCACACTATTCACCTGCCTGTGGTAAAGGTGACATCCAGTACAGACCAGACAGGCCAGCACTGCATCCCATACCACTCACCTGCCTGTTCTGCTTGTTCTTTTTCCTCCTGGGGCAAAGGATTGGGTTGGCGCTTTGTCCTCAGGGGACATCTGCAAATGTCTGGAGGTCCTTCTGGTTGTCACAACTGAGATGCAGATACTGGTATTCCAAAGGGGAACTAATGGTCCCACCCAGGGCATTGAGACCCACTGCTGTGGGATGGTCTGTGTGTCAAGTGTGTTCTGATTGGTCAATAAATAAATCACTGATTGGCCAGTGGCCAGGCAGGAAGTATAGGGGGGACAAGGAGAATAAAGCTGGGAAGTGGAGGCTGAGAGAGAGACACTGCCAGCTGCCACGATGACAAACAGCATGTGAAGATGCCGGTAAGCCACGAGCCATGTGGCAAGGTATAGATTTATGAAAATGGATTAATTTAAGCTGTAAGAACAGTTAGCAAGAAGCCTGCCACGGCCATACAGTTTGTAAGCAATATAAGTCTCTGTGTTTACTTGGTTGGGTCTGAGCGGCTATGGGACTGGCGGGTGAGAGAGATTTGTCCTGACCGTGGGTCAGGCAGGAAAACTCAAGCTACAACCCACTGCAAGGAGTTACTGGGCCCTGAATGTTCACAAGGCCTGCTGGGGGGTGACAACATCACACACAGCTTGCTAGCGTCCCCATTTGCTTCCTTGTGGGTACCAGTTTCACTAATCCCATCGAGAGGACAGCTTTTCTTCCTTACCCTGGTGCAGGGGACAGACTCAATGAGATCACTCTTTGCTATCACATGGAAGGAGACACACCTCCTACTTCCTGTCCATTTGGGGTGCCGGGGCAATCAGTCTTCCCACCAAGCCTCTGTCACCCCTGATATTCAAGTCCACTGCCAATGACCACAGGCTCAGCAGTAAAAAATAGCTGTGGGAGCAGTAGAAGGTGAGCCGCTGGAAAAGCGGCAAGAGACACGCCCTCTCTGTCCCTGCCGAGCATCCGTGGAGAACCCTCACTGGTGGAGGGCTTTGGTCTCCAGGACTGGAGGAGAGGGGTGTTTTCCAATCAGCTCCCAGTACTTTGCCTTATGATAGACTACAACCCCACCCTCTGGCTGGTGGCTAACGGAGGCTCCCCATCTGTTTTCAGGCTCCCCTGCTCCAGGGATCCCCACAGCCCCAGATGGAATACCTCTCCACACCACTTCCTCCACAGCCACCCTGACCCTCCCTGCTGTCTTCTCTTCCGAAACCCCACTGCCAGACCCAAGTCAAACCAATGCAGCTCAGAACATGATACCGCCGCTGCCTGGCGTCTCTTTAATTTCCAGCAGTGGGCTTCATCTCAGCGCCATGATGCTCGAGTGGACAGACTGTTGTCTGCTCACTCACTCCTGGATGAAAACCCCAGCACCAGGAGGACACTGGCTCACAGAGGGGCGAGACCTACAGCCGGGGCAGGTGACCCCAAACTGCATGCGACACTGCACCTGCTGTCAGGATCTGGAGCACCAGGGCTCTCTAGCTGGGTCACTGCTCCTCCAGGATAGCTCTCCTGTCTCCAGCTCCTCCCTCTAGCACTCCATAGGTCCCTCCTTTGGGGGCTGACTTGTTCAGACTCTGGTTCAGTGTGGGACTGGGAACATAAGGGGCTCCTCTTTGGTTCCCATTCTAGTGATTTTGGGTACTTACTGGCATGGGAGCGGGTAGGCACCTGGGCACAGGCATCGATGTGGCTGAAGCGTCGTCCTGAAGAGGTCAGGTACCAGTGCTGGATGGCTGGCTGGGGGTCATACTCCGTGACTGCCACGCCATTCAGGGCTGTCATCATGAGTGTGTTGAGCACCTCATTGGAGAGCTTGGTCCTCTCATCAGTCCTGATCCTGTTCATGGCCTTGAATCCCCGTTCACAGCAGGAAGTAGAGAGGGGCACACTGACCACCACAGCCAGGAGCTTGCTCAGCAGAGGGAATCGGCAGTGCTGAGTCAGGGCGTTCTTACACAGCATGGAGAATGGAAGGTTCTGGTTCGCTGCTTTCAAGCTCAGCCACTCCTCCAGCAGCGCTTCCTCACTGTACCCCACGGGGAGGGAAAGGTCAAAAGACCTGGCCAGGCTGAGAACGTCACTGTTCCCAAAGCAGGCCAGTTCAATCCCGCTAGGCCAGGCCATGGTGTCTAACACCTCCATGCTCTTGAGCTGTGTGGGGCGGTCTGCATCAAACCTCTGCCGGAGGTACTCGACCCCAGTCAGGATGGTTCTCTCCCTGTCTGCCTGGAACCACTGCTCTGCATTCTCCGCTCTGTCCAGGAAGATGCCATGGAGCTGCCCGTCCTGGAAACTGGCATTGAACTCCTCTTCCTTAGGCCCCGCCTGTTGGCGGAGACTCTCCAGTGCCATATAGGCGTGCCCCAGGGTAGAATTCACTTCTGTGACCAGCACAAGCTCCTTCTGGCATACCTCCGACAGAGGCCTGTAGATGCTCAGGAAATCCAAAAGGAAGTGACAGAACTTGAAGAAATGGAAGCCCTTCATCAGCTTCAGCATGCCCCTGGCTCTCTGACCAACCTGGCCCCCAGCCTCCACCACACTCTGAAGGTGCCTAGTCAGGGCAGGCCAGCTCACGATGAGCGCGTTCAGAGTGCGCCTTTTGCTGGCCACCCACCTGATAGCGCTCAAGTCCTTCAGACGGATGATCTCTTGCTCCAGGAGAGCTGCACCGCCCTGCAGCTCACTGAGCCTCTTATTTGAGGACTGATAAAACTTGAAGACGGTCCGGATGTGCCGATCGCACTTCCTCACCAGATCAATGCTCCCACAAGCATCCATCACAGCCACATGCAGCTGGTGGGCCACACTGTGCACAGGCAGGAGCTGAGGGATGATCTCCCGGAACTTTTCCACGAGGCCTCCCTTGCAGCTCAGCATGGCAGAACCATCAGTCCCCAGACCCACCACCCAGCCAGGCTTCCGGAAAGGGATATCCAGCTCATCCAGGGCAGCAATGATGGTCTCAAAGTACCCATCTACTGTCTCACTGGAGAGAGGGGCCAGGGTGATGTACGATTCCTTCACCTCCATCTGCTTCAAGTAGCGCATGTATATCCCCACACAGGCCTGGTTGGAGGAGTCTGTGCAGCTGTCCAGCAGCAGGCTCATACACGGGGAGTTCTGAATGTCTCTTAGGATCTCCTTCTTCAGCGTCTCAGAGATATACTTGATGAACTGGGTGCACGCGGTGCGATTCCGGTACTTGCCTAATAGCGTGGTGCCAGTGTTCTGGAGGAGTTGCAAGACCTTCTCGAAGTCATTCAGAGGCCTAGAGTGGTAGGCAATGGAGTAGGCAGCATTGAAGAAGTGCTCCATGTTGGCCATGAGGTCGCTGGAGATCTCTGGAGTGAGGGTGGGCTGAGGGCTGTCACCTCTGATCTCCACGGTGTTGACACACAGTTTGTGTGCCTTACTGACTTCATGGTATTTTAAAGTCTCCACCTTAAAAGGCCCAGCGTAACCCTGGACTAAGCGGGATGACTTGTCGTGGAGAGTTGGTCTTTCTCTGCAAACAGAGCAGAACAGCTTGGTCTCCTTGGAGTCCATTACTAACCAGGGGAACTGCCCAAACCAGGACCTCTGAATGGAACGGGGCCTGTATGTCCTCTTGACTTTCTGAGGTCCGTCCACTTCTCCTTCACACATGCTGGGAGGACAGTGAGAGGCACACGTCTCCATGGAGGCTGGCAGCGAGAAGGACGCTGCAGCTGAGGCCTGGGTGTGGATGTTGGCTTCTTTCACTGCCACCGTCTTCTCTTTCCCTTTGAAGAAATGAAATTATGCTTGGCTTTGCTATTCCGAGCTCTGTGGTCTACCAGCTAAGACACCTGCACCGAGTAAGACACTAAAGCAGAGAAGCCGCCCACGTCCCTCCTTCCAGAGATCAATGCCAGCCTCTACGAGCCCTTCCCAGCGTTACTAGTGAAGGCCATCCTGGTTCCCCGACAGGTTGTTTGTTCTTCTGTTGGCTCCCCATCTACCCACCCGATACCCCAGGACTATGAGACACCAGATGCTGATGAGCTTAATCAGCCACCCTTGGCCATAGACACCATTAGATAAACAGGCAACTTTAATCTTCTCGTGAAGCTTCACAAACAAGCGAGGTTAAATCCAAGTGCCTTCATCTTCTCATGAGTCTCAGAAGGAGGTTAAGATCCACACAGAGTGGCTACTGGCCCATGAGTTATGGATGGGGAGTGTAAAACACATAGTTCTCACAGGCCACAGCGCTGCCACTGCTCCCCAGGAGGAGAGGGGAGGGGAGGGGAAGAAAGGAGGGGAGAGGAGAGGAGAGCGCTCAGAGTCAGGCCCCGCCCACTGCTCTGTCCAGTGTCTCTCATTCACCTCCCCACAGCTCAGCCACAGCTATCAGCAGCTCTGCTTGTCAGAGGACCTTATTTCTTCTATATGGCCCCAGCGGCCGAGACTGTTCTACAGTCTCAGGTAGGGCTAGTTCCTTATTTATCTCTGTCTACCTGTGGCCAGGATAAGCATGGCTAAACTCACATTGTGTGGCTTCCCATAGCTACATGTGTCCAGACTTGTGCCTTTTAGAACTTGATAGGGCTAGACTCACCTAGGGATTGACTTTTCCCCGGCTTTAGCCCATTAGGGTCCTTGATCCAGGGTGCGGCTCTCCGTTTCAGTCTTGTGATCAAGTCTGGCTTGGCAGCAGGTGGCTCTGTTGCAAAATGGAAGATTTATAATATCACTGGGCTGGCAGAGCGCATAGCCCACCACAAGCTAGACCTGGCCCTGCAATATGCAGAGATGACTGGGTTCTGTCCTGGGTAAGGACCAGTTCGTGGGACAGACTTAGAACATACTCAGTTGAATGCCTAAGCAGAGGCCAGGGAAGACTTAATTCTTAGCCAGGATGGATGACTTCTACGGCCAGCCATGAGAACCAAGAGCCAGTAAGATGCATCCAGAAGGGAAGTGGGGGGGAAAGAGACAGAGAATAAAACAGAAGGAGAAAGACGCAGCATGCAGTGCAACGCCCATACAAGAGGCTGAAGTTGCCATCAACGGCCTGTGCTTGAGCCCCACCCCACGTAACCTCAGCAGGCTTTTGTGCAGGTGACTAGCTAGCTGCACATATTTGAGTGAAGAACCTTTAAAGACATCTACCATCTGCAATGGACCCTGAAAGAGGATTAGGAGAGTTACACACTACTCTTTACTTAGCTCAGGGTATACACAAAACTGCTTCCTTATTTAATGTAAACTCCTCTACTGTCTCCGTTCATGCTTTTGTATGTCTGTAAAGGTGTGCAGTAAAGGGTCAGAAAGGGGGCTCAGTGGGTAACGGTGCTTGCCACTAAGCCTGATGACCTGAGTTCAAACTCTCCAGGAATCACTCCCACAAGTTGTCCGCTGACCTGTACATATATGCCATGGCATACATATACTCTCTCTCTCTCTCTCTCTCTCTCTCTCTCTCTCTCTCTCTCTCTCTCTCTCTCTCTCCCCTTTGTCTCTCTGTCTCTGTCTCTGTCTCTCTCTCTCTCTCTCTCACACACACACACACAAAATGTTTAAAACACGTAGAAGTAGCTAGCAGCTTGAGTGCTTCTGGGAGGAACTGAAGGAGTGTTTATCCTTTGGACCACTTGGACATTCACATGAGTGACATGGATATCCGTGCATCCACATGTCTACTCTTAATAAAAAACAAAGGAGGTAAATGACTATAGTGTGGCAGACTGAACAGTTGTCCTTCTTGAAATGGCTTTAAAAGAAGAGTGAAGGAATAACCAAAGCACAAGCCCAGAGAAACACTGTGCTGCACACACAGGACACAGAAGATGCACAGGCCAGAGAAACACTGTGCTCTATACACACAGGAGACAGAAGATGCACAGGCCAGAGAAACACTGTGCTCCATACACAGGACACAGAAGATGCACAGGCCAGAGAAACACTGTGCTCCACACACAGGAGACAGAAGATGCACAGCCTATACCACAGGGGAGGCTGGTGGTCTGCAGCACAGACAGATTCAGATGTAGGCTCTGGTGGCAGGACTGGGGTGGGGTATTGGGAGTCATCAGTGCATAAGGAATGAACAGAGCTGAAACATTCAGAAGCGTGGTCTCCGGTGGCAGGACTGGAGTGGGGTGTCGGGAGTCATCAGTGGGCACAGAATGAACAGAGCCAAGACAGGAACAACACTTGTTCAGAGACCTAGGAGGCCCTTGCAGCTCTCCAGGGAAACTAGGAAACAGCACCAAGGCAGGGGAAGGAGAACAGAGGCCGAGCACACGAGAAAATCTTCCAAGACACTCCAGATCCAGGACACGGAAAAGGGAAGGAGAGAGGTATTTAAAACAAACGGTTTTTAGTTCATAGGCTCAGGGGTACACTGCTGGACACCAAGCACCTGGCTGCTGCCTGTACCTTCTATACCAGTGACAGAAAGGGGGGATGTGTGCGTGTGTGCCATGTGTGTGTGGGGGGGGTTGTGTGTGTGTGTGTGTGTGTGTGTGTGTGTGTGTGCGTGTGTGTGTGCATGTGTGCATGTGTGTGTCTGTGTGAGAAAGAGAGAGAATTGGAACTGTCCTCCCTTGCCCTCCAAACACCAACAAATATTTTGTAGTCTCTTCTATGACACACTCAAATTATAGCTGATCCTCAGTGTCACCTACCCTTAAATGACTGTACAGAGCTTCGTGTTGGCTTTTAAAGCTTATTTTATTTATTATTATTAACTATTATTATTATTATTAGGGTTTTTTTTTGAGACAGGGTCTCTCCATGTAGCCCTGGTTGTCCTTGAATTCACTCTGTAGACCAGGCTGGCCCCAAACTCACAGAGACCCACCTGCCTCTGCCTCTCAAGTGCTCAGATTAAAGGCATATGCTACCACACCCAGCAAGGTTTTGTTTTTAAATAGGAATGAACTTAGAAAATAATAGTTTAAGAAAAGTTTCCTACGTGAAAATGAGAGATTAACAAGCAGGGAAAGTACTAGATCCAGGAGACTGCAGGGAGCAGCATGGAACCTTAAGACAGGAACCAAGAATTAATACTGAGGGGTTGTGACAGGGCTCAGCTACCTGATCTTCCAGAGGACCAAGTTCATTTTCCAGCACCCACACTGGTGGCTCACAACTGCCCCTAAGTCCAGCTCCAGGACACTTGACTCTCTTCTGATCTCTGTGGGCACCGCCACACACGTGGCAGACACTCACAAACATACACATCAATAAAAACAATCTTTTAGAAAGTGTATTCATTTTTATGTATGGTTGTTTGGTCTGCATGTATGTCCATGCACCATGTGTGTAGCTGGTGTTCTCAGAGGCCTTAGGACTGGAGTTAGAGAAGTGTGAGCCACCATGTGGATGCTGGGAATCAAACCCATGTCCTCTGGAAGAGCAGCCAGTGTTCTCAACCCTGAGCCCTCTCTTCAGCCCCCAAATTAATATTTTTAAAAATAAAGAACTTTGCGGGGCAGTGGTGGCGCACACCTTTAATCCCAGCACTCAGGAGGCAGAGCCAGTGGATCTCTGTGAGTTCGAGGCCAGCCTGGTCTACAGAGTGAGCTCCAGGACAGGCACCAAATCTACACAGAGAAACCCTGTCTCGAAAACCAAAAAAAAAGGGGGGGTGGGGAGCTGTTGATATTACTATCGACAGTAGGGAAAGTCGTGATGGTGCTGCGGGAAAGAAGGGAGCTCAGGAACAACAGCAGAACCAGAAAGCAAAAACCAAAACCTGAACTGTTGGGAAATAACATAAAAACACCTACTTAAAAGTTGTAAAAAATAAAAGGCAGAAAATAGAGAAAAAGAAATAAAACAGAGTCTAAGTCTAGCAAGCATCTGCTAACACAAGAGTTCTGAGAAAAAAGAAAAAGAGATTGAGGACATCACAGGAGGACATTTTCCCAGGTACAAAGTTGGGGAGGGGAGGGGAGGGGGCCCAGAAGTACTGTAACACCCACTGGAGCATATCATGAAGTACACTAGTACACTGGAAGAGATTTTCAAAAGGTCATTAGTACTTTTATTTATGCACATGTCTGTGTGTAGGTGTGCATACGAGTGACCAGAGGTGTCAGATGCCCTTAGGCTGGAGTTACAGGCAATTGTGAGCTGCCAGATGTGGGTGCCGGAAACTAATCACGAGTTCTCTGCAAGAGCAGCTCATGGTAACTGCTGAGCCATCTTTCCAGCCCCCCCCCCCCCCCCGGATAGATTTTAAAAGTTCTCAGAGTAGAAATAATACGTTGTGTTCAAAGACTTAGGAATAAGAGGGGTATTCAATTTCTCAGCAGCACCAGTAAAAACCCAACAGAACAATGCTTTCAAACCATGCTGAGGAAATGGTTTCCATCTGGACTCCATGCCCATCAAGTCATCACTCAATCATGTTGGGTACCATGAAGGCCCCTGCAAATCCTAAAGACACCTGCAGTGTCTTAAAAAGAAGCTCTGGGGACTACTATTTGCTAGGAAGCTACCAGAAGACGTGTCCACTAAAACTGTCCACAAAAGAAAAGATCCAGGAAGTGGGAACGTGACAAAAGAGACTCCAAGCCACAGCTGTGTGGCAGGCCTAGGAACTAATCTGAGCAGGGGAGAGGAAGGTCCAAGAGGAGAGCGCCCAGAAAAAGAATGATGGCAACAGATCTCAGGATGTTTGACCACAGGGAAAGACATCAGATATGTTTCTTAACTCCACTGGAGAGTTCAGACATAATTAGAGGGAGTACAAAAAAATTAAACAAATGAAAAAATTCCACTTCCAGGGTGAAAAAACTCTATAAAGAAGGAAACAGCACAATACAGCACTTGGCAGTAAACAACACACAAACACAATTAGGCAAATAACTCACATAAAAGTGTGCTATACCTGTTCTGAGAGGATGGAGGGGAGAGAAGTGGACCTGCGTGGCGTAAGAGGCATGTCTTCATCCTCCACAGTAGGAACCACTAGGTAACATCTAAAATTAAACCAGGAAGAGCAATGAACACATGCAACAGGGTACTTAAGTAGGACTCTGCCTGCCTGTTTGGGCTGAGGGCATCAGATATGAGGCACCAGGGCCAGGTAGATGGCTCAGCAGGTAAGAGTACCTGCTGCCAGGCGTGACAACCTGGGTTCAATTCCTCGGACCTATATAGTGGAGGGAGAGAAACAAACTCCACCCACAGGTTGTCCTCTGACTGGCAGGCATGCACCCACATACATGCACACATCTGCAACACATAAATATAATTCTAAAAGAGTTTAAATGGAGTTTTGTTGCCTCTAACAGGGCAACAAGGCCCCTACAAGATACCACAGGCTAATAAAAAACCCAGTGCTAGAAATGGGTTACTTCTTTTGGAGTTGGCCAGTGAGGTCCCACAGACCCCCCAACATTACAGGCCATTGCCAACAGTAATGGTTACCCTCCAGAACTCGATGGTGAGACCCTATAGCTGATGAGTCATAGATAGAACATGGAGACATCAAACTGGTACTGACCTAGAAGCTTTGGCCCTATTGGTTAGCACTCATAGAGCTGGAAGGTGTTATGCATGCTACTGGAGGAGTAAAGCAATCACAAATCTTACCCACTTGTGAACCCTGCAAGACATGCCCACTGGTACAATAGTAAGATAAATGTCATGGGAGTAACCAACCACCTTCTGACTAGATTTAACACCAGTTCCGTAAGATAGGAGCTA